AATGGTGAAGAAAGAGATAGAGGGAACGACATGTGAAGAGGGTGATTTTTTTCTATAAAAAAGGCAAAGATTTAAATAATGCAACTTGATGTGTTTTAAATCTTTGTGGTAAATCCTGCCTGAGGAGGAGGAAGGTATGGATTAAACGTTACTTCTTTCTGGCCTTCCTTGCATTGTTTCACTAAATCCTTCAATAAAGACGTGGATTAGGAATCTGGAAACCGGTTGATTCCATTTGGTGGTCGAATTTGTCCCAAAAAAGTAAGCCGAATTTTTATTTCAAAAATCCATCGCCCCAATCCTAACACAGGCTTTGTGTGCGGGGCAGATTCTCGAGGCAGCAGTATTCTTGCGTTAGACACAAGGCGAATATTTAAAAATCTTTATGCTGTAGATTTAAATACAAAGCAATAGTTTTTGATGCGGAAATAGGGGAAGTGAAGTCGGAAATTTCCTCGAATTAAGAAGGGGAAAGAGGCTTTGGTTCGTTTTCCTGATCTCATTACCATTTAAACATCCTCAAATGTATGCAGACATGTGAGGGTGATAACAAAAATGCATTTGTTTTGCTGTATTGTCAACCATATTTTGTTGAGAAGGAGGGGAGTTTAGTGAAGGTTCAAACTGACAAGGCGATTCGCTACTCACGCATTCATGAACCTCTTCTATTTGTTCACTTAAACTCAAGCACAAAGCAACTAGGGCTACGATAGTGCACATCCGATCAAAAAATGATTTCCGTTTTTACGGAGACCTTTACATTTATTTGTAAAGTACCACTGGACGCTGAAATCAAGTGAGTAGTACGTGTCGTGGCGCTCCTCTGAGGTTATTAATATATCAATAGCCAAATTTTATGGGTCAAATCGTATTCATAGGTAGCTTTCCTTTACCAGCGGTCACATAATCATTGTCTGATTTTGGTTTGAGATCAGACTGAAAGCGGTAATTGCCTACGGTCACACTTCTCAGCAGGCCGATTTTATCCACTTCAGTGTAAATAAGAGATGAATTTTCACATACTTTCATCAAAATGACAAATGTTGGTGAGGTGGGCAGATGTTTACCAGCTCTCAAGTTCACTCCGGTTCAGCAAGGACAGGCAAATGATCCGCATTCTTCCAGATCGCCTTAAAGAAGGCCTTGATCCGATCAGTGTCAGCGTCAAGTCCAGTTTCCTGCTTAACATGTCAACATCCACCACAACCTACTACGATCGTGCGGGAGACATCCAGTAGTCGAAAAATGTTACACTCAGCACCGTGAAATTCGAACTTCGACTGACTAGAAGAAGACAAACAATGATAAACATACTAACCTTTATTGGTCGTATTGTCTCTTCTCACTTCGTTTCACCTCACATTTATTCCAACGAGGAGAGAGAAAAAAAAGTTAATTGCGCTGTTAGGAGCTGTTTCAATGCGCTGGTCACATATAGACACGAATCTCCAAAGTAAAGCAAAATTTGACACTTTAATTAAAGTGAAAATTTTTGAAAAAACGGCAAAATAATTGAAGTTAATTAGTTTGTCATTAAAAATTGAAACAAATCGGGAAACCGTGCATGAGAGAGCAGTGTTTTGTGTCCCTTCGGAAGGGCGTGAACGAATGACAATTTCTCAGGCTCTGGTATTGTAAAGCATTGAATATGAAGTGCAGTAGTTATTCATTCCTGTTCCCTTTTAAGCATACACTTAGTCAGTCGTTGATGCACTCTTGACAGTGTCAAACACATCGCCCTCGCGTTGCTCCAAAATCCCTCCAAAAATGCGGACACCGCATTAGAGACGCACTTTATTGTGTGTGTGTGTGTGTGGATTTGTGCATTGTTCGCCATTAAGCAGTATTTTCTGTCCGTAATTGAACACAGGGCGTTGGCTATGCACCAAAGTGTCGCTTTTGGCACAAAATTTTAACACTGGTTGGTGTGGAATGCAAACAACCTCGCTCGTGTTGACATCAGTGGAAGGCCTAGCATTTCTCGGAGTAAACATTTTGCTAACTCCATAGACTCGTCAAAGTTGGAAAACAGTCCTAACACTTAAAGTGATCCACATTTTGCTAGAGGAAAGGCCAAATATGTCCGTAGTACAGAGCAGGGGACGAGACTGGGGCAACTTAGAACCGCCTAGGGGCAAGGTTGACAGGCAAGGGTGTCGTGTTGCACCTCTCAGCCGTCAGTAATGATAGGAAACTCTAGCGAGCTAATAATTGAAGAGGCGTATAACTGCAATGTTGCTATCATCCTTTAAATTGGCATAAATTTAACGAAAAAGTTCGGGCTGCACATCACGCCTGTCGTACAAACACCGACTTAAAGGCAGAGCTACTTAATCGGGACAAGGTATGATGCAGTTTTTGTAAGAATGTTTTCAACTCTACTCTCATTGCAAGACTGTTCACCAACTAATGCAGACGTTGACACCGCGCATTTTTTTGCGCCCCGATCTGCTAATAGCAGACGTGGAGGACTCAGGAC